GCTTCATGAATTATTACGGGAATTGCTAAGAAAAACATCCACCATCACAAATTATATATTTTCCTTTAGTTAAGGCTCGACTTGAACTGTGGTAGCAAAGTTTATCACGATATGCTATCACATTTATCAGTCAGATTGTCAAAGATCCCCTGGCGGTTTTGTGGCCTAAGATAAACGCATATAAGTCGCTTCTTGCACAGCCAATGCGGCCTCTGAAGGATCCCATTCACCCGCAAGCGTCACTCTCATTAAGATCCTTTCATTGAGCCATCTATGTGTCCATGCATTTAGACGTGTAAAATGTTGAGCTTAAATGTGCACTTTATCACAGTTAATCTTTTACTCTGCATGATTTTTAAATACGAACGCTCTCGTCAATTTCACCCATTGATAATTTCAAAGAAAACTCTTGTCATTGTTTTGGTATAATCTCTTTAAGTAATCTAATCTCTAGCATCTGTTATTCGATATGGCGGCACTTATTATAAATGGTTGGAGCATGAATGAGAGCTTTGTTAATGAAAGCGGTTGCTCTCTTGGATAGAACTTGTTAAGATTGACCCGAATTTTTTTCTTATGCTACGAGTGAGATGAAGCTACATTACTATATATTGTGGTGCACTTAATAATGCCCCTTCGTACACATATAATATTCATATGTGGCGATATTCTCTTTAATTTTGCTATTACGATGCAACAACCTTGAGATAACGAAATTCTGAAACTTCATAGCGCTCGTGCTCCGCTGTTCTTACCTATAACTAAATTTCAAGCACGAGTCGTCAAACTTTAAGAAGTTACATAAAGTTACAAGTCGAAGGACATCAAGTTGTTTGAAACATACCCTTGAATGTTACATAAAGTTACAAGTCGTAGGACATCAAAATATTGTTTGAAACACTCTTGAATGTCCTGTGAAAGAACTCGGCATCTTAAAATGATGTGGATTCAAATTGTTTGAAACACTCTTGAATGTCCTGTGAAAGAACTCGGCATCTTAATTGGATTCAAATTGTTTGAAACATTCTTGAATGTCCTGTGAAAGAACTCGGCATCTTAAGATGATGTGGATGACCTCGCAAGTGGCGTGTGCGCTGGCATAAGTCAGGCCAGCGATAGCATCTAAACATACAGCTTGTGTCACCACAATTCTCCTTGCAATGTATCTTTCTTTGTCTTGCAACGACCTATACTAGAGAGACGTGCTCCTCTGGCAAATGTTATCAAAAAACTCTAACTCAACATAGCCTCGATCTCGCTGCGAATTCATTATGCAATTGACGTTGACGTAGCGTTGATTAATCATGTTTCAACGTAACCAACGTTTTATCAGTCATTTACCTCGAAGGTTGTGATTTGTGATTTGCTGTCGTTACTCCGCTGTTATGTATATGTAGGGAAGTTAAGTGGAGTTAAGAGTTATGTTTATTCTTACTGCGTCAGTATTGAATATCCCCGGCTGTAAATAAGAAAATGTAGGGAGTAATATTTGTGGAGTTAAGAGTTATATTTATTCTTACTGCGTCAGTATTGAATATTGCCGTCTGTAAATAAGAAAATGTAGGGAGTAATATATGTGGAGTTAAGAGTTATGTTTATTCTTACTGCGTCAGTATTGAATATCCCCGTCTGCAAATAAGAATTTATATCACCTCGTTTGGTCGATTTACTGATGAACTAACCCGCATGCCAGGCCCACAGCCTGCAGTTCAGTTTGCATTCGCTTGATCGTCAGTCGTAAATACCCTTTGATGCCATTGGTAAGCGCTGCATTCTCTCTGATGTCGCTATGCTGCATTGTTGAACTGCTGTGCCCTTAATTTGATGCCATTGGTAATAATAATCACATTGTTAATCGCCCTTTGATGCCATTGGTAATAATAATCGCCTTGTTAATCGTCCGTTGATGCCATTAGGTAATAATCGCCTTGTTAATCGCCCTTTGATGCCATTGGTAAACGCTGCATCCTCCCTCATGTCGCCATGCTGCATTGTTGAACTGCTGTGCCCTTAATTTGATGCCATTGGTAATAATAATCACATTGTAATCGCCCTTTGATGCCATTGGTAATCGCTGCATTCTCTCTGATGTCAGTAGTACTTATATTATCAGTCTGCTTTTATCGATATAATGTTAGGTCTTGTTTAGGTTTTATGTCTGTCTTAGAATTTTGATATAATAGTAGGATTTTATTCATTTTTAGTTTTTTCGAACTGATGATGAAGCTGGACTCCGAAACGTTTTCAATATCGATATGGTGAATTTGCTTGGTCTTTTCTTTGTTTTTAAATTCTTTGCTCCCTGATGTCGCTATGCTGCATTGTTGAACTGCTGTGCTGGTGCTGGGGTAGTGAGTGGGTCGTATATATTTATAGGGTAAACTTGTCAATTCATTATCCTCTTATATTTTAGATCAAAATGTTTTTTTAAAACGAAATTGGCTCTGCTTGTGCAGGGGTAAGGCGTGGGTCGTATATATAGGATAAACTTGTCAATTTATTATCCTCTTATATGTTAGATCAATATGTTTTTTAAAACGAAATTTGTTCTGCTGGTGCATGAGTAAGACGTGGGTCGTATATATACGATAAACTTGTCAATTTGTTGTCCTTTTATACATTTGAACAATGCGTTTTTTATAACGAAATTGGTTCTTGCCTTGGATGGAATTCGCCGGTCGCTGCATTCTTGAGTGTTCTATAGATATTCTTCACAGACACGCTTCTTCAGACAAGTGTTATATATATACTCAACTCTCTCCAAGACAACTTGAAATATTTAAATACAAGGTGAATAATCGACTTGGAAACAGGCTGTGTTAGCCCATTGAAAATCTAAATACACGAAACTGCCAACTGCAATTGACATTTAATGTATACATTTTTTGACGTTTTACCCTGAATTTTATTCAGTCTCGTTATATTGCTATATTCATTGAGGTAAAAAGACTGGTTAAGACCAGACTACAACTCGTGAAAAATATCTCTATACAATGTTCCCGGAATAGGCAAAACGTTTTTCCTTGTGGTAGATATGCGTTTTCTCATCCAACCTTTTGTGTGTTAACTCGATTAACTGTGTTGTGTGAGTGGCCGGCCTCGTGTTTGAATACCACACAGGATGCTCATGCCACCGCCACATGTCAGTACTCATCAGGTTACTGAACTTGCCTCACCCCTATACTGAATGTGTATCGTTTTATCACTACTGAAAAGGGAGGTTGTCAGCTATCGTTCGGTGTCAAGTAGAACTGCTGTCTAGGCTGCTTTCTCTGCAACGAACTGCTGTCTCTGCAACGAACTGCGGTCTCTGTAACGAACTGCTGTCTCTGCAACCAACTGCTGTCTCTGTAACGAACTGCTGTCTCTGTAACGAACTGCTGTCTGCAACGAACTGCTTTCTCTGTAACGAACTGCTGTCTCTGTAACGAACTGCTGTCTCTGTAACGAACTGCTGTCTCTGTAACGAACTGCTGTCTCTGCAACGAACTGCTGTTGTCTCTGTAACGAACTGCTGTCTCTGTAACGAACTGCTGTTTCTGTAACGTGAAAAGGGAGGGTTGTCAGCTATCGTTCTGAGTCAAGTAGAACTGCTGTCTGGGCTGCTGTCTCTGCAACCAACTGCTGTCTCTGTAACGAACTGCTGTCTCTGCAACCAACTGCTGTCTCGGCAACGAACTGCTGTCTCTGCAACGCTGGCTTGCATACACGTGGAAAATTTAATAAGAAGAAGGAAATATTTTGGTTTAATTGAAGGTGTAATTAATTTGCTCTATTATCTTGTTTTTGAAAGAATTTTGAAGTTTGCAACGTGTAATTTTAGTGAATGGATGAAATTTCATTTGTGTGATGACGAATGATTGGCGAAGATTTGCTGTATATTTGTTTGTGGAATACATGGATTGTCTTGAATTTATTCATTATTTATTGACTTGATGCCTTCATTCGTCAGGTTTCGCACCGGAGCAGAATTTAATTTGAATATCTCAAAATTTTGTTCTACTAATTATTTTTTTTTTTCAGGAACCTGGTGCTTTTGTACAAATTTTTTTCAAAAATCACTTCACAATGCTTATCCTGCAAATGAAATGTGCCCGTGGATCCAATAAATTTTTTATTTGCTCTTTTATGGCTGGCCTGTTTCTGCATTTGTAATTTTTGTGGCGTATATATGGTTGTTACTTGTATGAAACTTTTTGATTGATTAGCCGGTTTTGACATACGTAGTGTTTGATTTTTCGAATTCATTTATTTGTTACTAATTATAAAACTATATGTGCGGATTCATCTATTATTTTTTTGCAACGCTGATCATTGTATATATTACATTGGTTTTAAATCTATTTAGTCAGTATTTGACCACTAACCGGTTGATATTAGCTGTCGGAACCTTAATTAGCTTATGTGTAAATAGAATAGCAAGATTGAACTGAAGGCCCCGGTACAAAGGCTTCTCGTTAATGAAGGTTGACAGTAGCACCTGTTAATTATTTTTAATATCTTGGGTTTTTCTGAGCAATTTATACCAATTCTGATCAATTTGTGTACCAATTCAAGCATTGGTATATAAAACAATGAATAATCGGTTACTTCGGGCTCGTAATTTCATTAATGTCGTCTCATTATTTTTTTTTATCAAATGCATTCACCTCGTTGGTATCATAATATCATTATAAATCCTTGCTTACATGTTCCAAGTGAGACTCGTTTATATAGAAACATTTTTCAATGTGGTGTTCATACTTGTGGCTCATACAATTTTGGGTTTCAGATTTAATTCGTGGTATTAAAATCACTCAATAAATGCGCTTAACATTCTTACCAAATTGATTCAATATTCTTTGGTTTCTGAAGACCACGCCCTATTTTCCTCGATCTTTATGCTAATGTAGTGGACATAGTCTGTTTTATTAATTATTTACTTGTTTTGCATATTTTAAACTTTTTGAATAATTTTGTCCTAATTTGACCATTTGGTTTGGTATTCTCCCTCACGACAGACCGGCCGTACAGATTCGTATCGTACGGCTACTGACCGCGCTGTACCGGACGATAACCGCACGTTCAAAGGCGATCCAAAGGTATTATTGCAGAGCACCTTAGGCGATCCAAAGGTATTATTGCAGAGCACCTTAGCCGATCCAAAGGTATTATTGCAGAGCACCTTTGCACCCTGTCTCGGACAGACGACACTTGCACACATCACATGAGGAGGGAGGCTTTGAAACTCTTCCATATTAGTTATGATATAGTTCTCAGTTATGTTTTGTTTATAAATTATTACCTATAGTAGATTCTTCTGACCAGGGGCCATACTTTCAAAACTCGCTAAGTGAACGTAAGTAGTTACGCTCTATTTTCTTGTCTATGATTGGTGGATTTTACTTGAAATGCCGTCAATGATTGGCTGATGAACTTACGATCTCTTAACTTTTTTGAAAGTATAGGCCCTGGACAGATTTGGGAAAAAATCTGGGATTTGATGCTGATTTTGTCTATCTTTTGATGATTTAATTGAATCTCATTTAGTTGCCAAAAGTTGACTCGCCTTTCTCGTTATACTCTTATCAGTTCGCTAGTTAATCACCTAGCCTTTTAAAGCATAATTGCGGCTAATTCTATGCCAAACAATTGTGTTGATAATAGTGAAGAGTTTTCAATAGTCCCTCCCTTCTCGAAGTCACTGTGCTAATAAATGTTAGCACTTCACGTTTGTCCACTTCTCAGAACACTGCGTATATCTAACACTTTTATTTCGTATCACTTGCCTATGTAATTAACGTTTTCACGAAAGCACCAGTCGTTGTACACGCACTCAAGCCTTTGTCACGAAAACGTTCCCACGAAAGCACCAGTCGTTGTACACGCTCTTCTTCGTGTACACGCACTCAATCCTTTGTCACGAAAACGTTCTCACGAAAGCACCAGTCGTCGTACACGCTCTTCTTCCTGTACACGCACTCAATCCTTTGTCACGGCTGCGTGCGCTCGGGTTCGATCGGTTCTTCACTTAATTAATTTTTATTGAGGTTCTTCACTTATTTTTTATTGAGGTTCTTCACTTATTTTATTATTAATCCTTCACATATTATTTATTTATGTCATGCGCTGCGACACTCGTCAGTTCGAAGCTATGAGACGTGGTCGTCAACGTATCGCAGTTGTAGTATACCACAGCGTAGCCTATTTATAAGCAATGTCGGCTTCTTAACTGGGTCTAACCGGTTCTTATTTTTGCTTTCTACAGTAATGGCCCTGCACTATATGTGGTGACTTCTGACATTACTCATATGTTCCTGTCTTCCGTGTGCTTTTTTACAACGACTCTTATATTGTCTATTTTTTATACTTTCTTTTTATTATTATTATTTTTTTTGTTACAACGAGTCGACTTTTTTACTTTTTTTTACAACGACACTTATATTCGTGTATGTGGGACTTTATTATTATTATTATCCAATTTTCGTTACATCGACTCGTATATGTGCTACTTAATATATTGCTTTATGATATGTCTTACGTGTGTTTTTTGCTACAACGACTTGCATTCTCTAATTTTTTGCTATTAAATACGCTCTCCTTTTCCAGAACGATTTTCTTCCGTCATCATTACATTAATTTCGATGTAAACTTTTCTCAGTATCGTTTCTCAATTCCACACACTTGACTGAAAGCTTAATATATTCGCGCATATTTTCTTCAACCAATTATGGACCAGTGCACCGCCTGACAAATGCATTTGAAGGCAAATAATTAATATGAAATTTTTATGATGAGTGAAATTGTAAGTCTTATGAAGCGACTCATATATAGCCTCAATGGCTACAGATAGTATAAAATTAATGAAATAAAATATCAATCGATTCATGTAACTGGACTCGGAAATACTGCAGCATTTAGTTGGACATTTTAGTCATTATACTTCACTAATATGTATGAAAAAATTGACTAGGATGTCTACTCGGAAGTACGCTGGAGCATTTAGTTGAACATTTTAGTCATTATACTTCACTAATATGTATGAAAAAATTTTTCACTAATAATTCACTAATAATAAATTCACTAATAATAATTAATAATAATAATAATAATAATTATTCACTTCACTAATATGTATGAAAAAATTATGTATGAAAAAACACAAACATGCAGTTGTAGACGACGGCTATAATTCAAGTCTAATCTTATTGTTCGATTAGTATTAATAATTAATATAATAAAGTGGTATCAGAAACAAACAATAATGTACTAATTAGGATTAGTTTTACTTCTCATCATTGTTTACTCCATTCTATGAAAATTTTATCGGGTTTTCAGACCCCAGAAGTTGTCTGCTATACTTGCTGACGGTCATCGCGGACTTTTTATACTCCTGACAATTCATTATTTCGGGAACATCTTGTGTGCCTTTCGTCTTATTTTATGTTGATTTTGTGTGACATGTGCCAGTGTATACGTGATGCAACGCTTTCTGTGACTTAATTTACCTTTGAAATGTATTGAATTTTTTTTATTTATATTATACGTGTTTTATATTATACGTATATTATACGTATTTTATATATATACGTGTATTTTATTACTCTTTAACTGCCCTGTTTTGTTAATATTTTTTCTCCTCTTCGTCCGTCTGTTTTCTACATCAATTTTCTACAGCTTACACTTACGACAAAGTATTTTTTGTCAATTGAATTGAACCTGTTTCAGTATTTATCGATTTTTATTAAATTTCCGCATTAGAAGTGCCTGTACACTATTGTACAACTTTCATCATTGTTTATTATCAGTTTAAAGAGAGGAAATAATGAGTGCTGGTCTCATGATGTATCTCAGATTGAATTGTTAGCCTAAATTTGTCCTATTTTTGACGAGTCTGTTTTTACAAAAGACTGGCGTCTTATAATGTATATTCATATTTTATGCTTCTGTTACATTAAACTTGCGTCGAATTTCTTAGCTTTTTATTCTTATAACCCATGTTTCTTCAGACGTTTATGGATTATTTGCTGATTATGTTTAATACTTTTTTATTTGAATCGTTTCATCTACTATTGCATGACTAACATCTTTGTTATTTCAATCTATATTAATTATTCAACATTTTACTGGTATAAATTGATATCTCGTGCTGTCTGTTTCCTCAGCCTCTGTGATTACAGATGCGTTTTTTATTCCAGGGATTTTCGGTACTTCTGAGGCATATTTGATCTTGTTTCTTTATCTCTAAGTCTTGCTCTTAATATTTATTGCCAAGTGCTTCATGACCATAATTTTCTTAATGTTTTAAATTGAATCTTATTAGTGATGAAAGTCTTGTTGTGCATGTATGAAGGACAGGCGGAGGGATTTCAGGATGATGTTTCATGTCTCGATACTCATTCTACCGCCTCTTGAATAACTTTTAATTTACCCGATCTACCGATGCAATTTTCTTTACTTGGTACTAAAATTATTTATTCAACTAGGAATTTTCGGAAAATTTATCTGCAGTCTTTAATCTCTTGTCTCGCCTCGGTTCTTCGTTCTGAAAATTGTGAAAGCTTCAAAGCCTCTTTTTTTTTTTTACTTGTATCCTGTCACCAACGTGTATATAAAGTGTTTTTGTGAACTGTTCTGATACTCATTAAACTATAAGATCGATAAATTTATGTCAATATCGCCTCGGTGTGTTTTGTTCTCATGCACTTTTTTTCCTCATGTCCTATTCATTCATCTAATTCAGAACATTCATTCAATCGTTCAACTCATTCAGAACATTATTCTATCGCAACGTCTGCCCTCTTTAATATTCATTTTTCGGATTAATTTGAGGTACAATATATGTACATATTTTTCCAATGATCAGTTTGAGCAATTCTAAGCACATTATACACATTTACGAACTCCAGACCTCACATCAAACAAAAGTCTGAAAAAATCAAACCACTAAAACTTGATAGGCATGACGGTACATAAAGCACTAAAATGTGAATTTTGAGCCACTTTGCCTAATTAAACTTATGAACCTACCTTGAAATAAGTGCATAAACATTATTGATTACACCCTAACACCGCTATTTCTACCCTAACACCGCTATTTCTACCTAACACCGCTATTTCTACCCTAACACCGCTATTTCTACCCTAACACCGCTATTTCTACCCTAACTATGTACGAATTGAAGAGGCGAGAAGCAAAATAGCCGACCTCTGCATGCGGTATACTGCAAGATCTTATCTAACTCGGTGGTATCCTGCTAGCGCAAGACATAGCCTCCCACACGCTTCACATATCTTGTACAATAATTTTGCAACGATATATTGTCCAATAGAAGAGCAAGTATACTGTCTGGTTAATTGCGAGAGAGGTTATCAACATTACATGCTTCTACCTATCGTTGAAGTTATTTGAATATTACTAATAATTTCTTCAATTCACTGTATTATTCATTAAATACACATCTCATTACTTTCAAGCGAAAACACTCCCTCTTCACCTGAACTCAATTAACAGAGTTGTGAAGGAATTAAGTGGGTTCAAGGTTTTAAACGCCTTCTTCTTGTATAAATTAATTATCCTCTAATATCATACATGGTTGAGCTTCATTTATCATCGCTTATCTCACACCCCCGTCCATCTCACACCCCCGTCCATCTCACTTCCCCGTCCATCTCACACCCCCGTCCATCTCACACCTCCGTCCATCTCACATCCCCGTCCATCTCACCCCTGTAGCCGCCCAAACTAATAGTATACACCTGTCTCACCCAAACCAAACTAACAGTATTCACCTGTCTCACCCAAACCAAACTAACATTATTCACCTGTCTCACCCAAATCAAACTAACAGTATTCTTGTTTCTTTCCCTCGCTGCAGTCCAAGAAGAAAGCGAAGCGGGCGCTGGAGAAGTCAGATCTGCAGGATCTCAAACAGGAACTCGAGCTCGACGAGCACAAGATTCCTGTAGAGGAGCTCTACCAGCGGCTACAGACCAACCCTGACACAGTCAGTATAATGCAATATATCTACTGCAAATATTTCTTTACATTATAATTCAGCACTGCTTTTTGCTCTACCAGCGGCTACAGACCAACCCTGACACAGTCAGTATAATGTACAATATATCTACTGCAAATATTTCTTTTCATTATAATTCAGCATTGTTTTTAGCGCATTTTCTCATTTATGAAAAAAATGCACTATTGGGCTTGCCATGTCCGTTCTTGTGTCCGTCTGTCTGTCCGTCCGTCCGTGACTTCATGTTTTCGTCGACGAGAAAATGCGCTCTCTGTCACTCACTGCGGTGAGTACTGAGTTCTTTTTTTTTTGTGAATATATGATTATCAAAAAAGTTAGTTGGGAATGAGTGTTGTTACTCAATTATGAAGAACGTAGCTACATTTTAGCGAAGAAATATTTATATATCATTTTTCTCTTTTTTAAATGAACTGCACCCGATTTACATCTGTTGTGGTCAGGAAGTATGTGTACTTGAATAACAAATAGAAAAACGGACAAAACTTTCTATCGCAAAGATGTGAAATAAATTAGCAAGAAATTCATTTTAGCATCTGGTAGCATTACAATCAGACATTTGTCTAGTGCACATGCGCTTAACTTATTTATACTTTACAATTTGTTTTACCACATGTCGCTTATTTTACTACTTCTTTTTCGAGCGTTCATATATTGTGTGGAAAAGCTTGCCCTAAATAAAAAATGTTCCACGCTCTGCGTGTAATGTTACTCATTTCTTGAACTTGGATTTTTTCGATTGTAAACTTCAACACTCTTTGTGTTTAATGTTAATCATTTCTTGTAGGTACTTGGATATGTTCGATGGTAAACTCCAACATTATTTTTTCTTTGATATTACTCATTTCTTGCACTTGCACTTATTCTATAGTAAACTGCAACACTCTTTGTGTTTACTATAACTCCTCTTTTGAACTTTGATTTATTCTATAGTAAACTGCAACACTCCTTGTGTTTACTATAACTCCTCTTTTGAACTTTGATTTATTCTATAGTAAACTGCAACACTCCTTGTGTTTAATATAACTCCTCTTTTGAACTTTCATTTATAAAACACCCGTTGCATTGCAGGGCCTTAGCTCTGCTGAAGCCCGCCGCCGCTACGAGCGCGATGGCCCTAACGCGCTCACGCCGCCCAAGAAGACGCCCGAGTGGGTGAAATTCTGCAAAAATCTCTTCGGAGGTTTCGCTCTGCTGCTCTGGGTCGGAGCTATTCTTTGTTTCGTTGCGTACAGCATAGAGAGTGCCAATGAGGAAGAACCCAGCAACGATAACGTAAGTTACTGTTCTACTTGAGTAAAACAATAATTAAAGCCATAAGCTGGACAAAAATGTATAAATGTTCTTGTGCTTTAGAAGTGCAAAAGTCGAATGCGTTAGAATGCTATTCTTTGTTTCGTTGCGTACAGCATAGAGAGTGCCAATGAGGAGGAACCCAGCAACGATAACGTAAGTTCTAAGCGAGTACAACAATAATTAAAGCCATAAGCAGTACACAAATGTATAAATGTTCTCTTGCTTTAGAAGTGCAAAAGTCGAATGCATTAGAATGCTATTCTTTGTTTCGTTGCGTACAGCATAGAGAGCGCCAATGAGGAAGAACCCAGCAACGATAACGTAAGTTCTAAGCGAGTACAACAATAATTAAAGCCATAAGCTGGACACAAATGTATAAATGTTCTTGTGCTTTAGAAGTGCAAAAGTCGAATGCATTAGAATGCTATTCTTTGTTTCGTTGCGTACAGCATAGCGCCAATGAGGAAGAACCCAGCAACGATAACGTAAGTTCTATGCGAGTACAACAATAATTAAAGCCATAAGCTGGACACAAATGTATAAATGTTCTTGTGCTTTAGAAGTGCAAAAGTCGAATGCATTAGGTACCCTTGGCTAAAATAACCTAAGATGACATGAAATACATTTTTATGCATTTTTCTTACAGGTTTACTGGCTGTGCCAGTACCGGTTTTTTAATGCCTGTTCTAATATGATTTTCTGCAGGAACTGATGGCAACAATTTCTAATGAATAGATTATTTTCATGTAGTAATATTCTTATATTTTATATTCACTTTTAATATCACTTGTATTAACTCTAAAGTCATGGGGGAGACATGGAAAGAACATGCCCGAAACTCTGCGAATCATAACATGAAACTGTCACATGGCTGCCAATATACTCGAAAGAAATAACGTCTTCCTCTACAGACACATTTTCCTTAGCCAACTCGATACATCCATTCACTAAGTATCTTCGCAAAATGTTCATCCCGAATTTATAGTTCATTGTTCTTTTCTCCCTTTTGTTGTTCTCTAAAGCTTGATTCCTATGTTCCAATAGCACTCACTAGTTAGATTTATCTGTTTTTGGCTTCGAATAATGCCATTGTAATGTAACCTCAAGAAAAAATTATTAGGTTTATTTTCTTGACAAATGAAATAGTTATAATGCCTTTAATTATCTATATGAATTTACCAGCACATACTTCATTTTCCCGTGTGGACTTAATGTGAACTTATTGCCACTGTTCCCGTGTGGACTTATTCCTACCTCATGCTATTTCCATGCATCATTAATAGGTGAATTTAATATGTTTTCTTTCAACATTGTTGCCATTAACGATTTCTCGCTGACGATGAAGAGCGTGCACGTGTTTCCCTGACAACGTCTCAAGAATCCATCTAAACTTTTATCGACGAAACTTACGTCTGAGATTTTCTTTCTTTCCATCCAAACAAATTTGTTTGGATACGAGATTTCTCAAGTTTTTTTTTCTTTTTATATTACCCAGCATATTATTCCTGTGTATGTCTAATCTTTTTCTTTTTAGAATCATTATTGATTGCCTCTTTTTACTTCAGAAACAACTGTCCTCTTCTTTAATAACACATTTAATATCATTATCAAACACAAATTTTGCCCAAACTCATGACATTTAATTCGCTAGTGAAGACCTCAGGGCGCAATAAATATAACTATGTTTCTGAACAACTATTCGCGGTTGTGCGCAGCTTTACCTAGGCATCGTGTTGACGACGGTGGTGATTGTCACCGGCGCCTTCTCTTATTTTCAAGAATCAAAAGCAGACAATATTATGGCATCGTTCGCTCAGATGGTACCTCAGGTAACTACGACATTTACTCGACAGTCCCAAGTCCACACAATTATCGTTATCACCGAGCAGTTCTCCGTAATGGTATTCCCGAACCATTCCCACTACACCCTTTAGGAACCTTACCGTTACGTTACCACTCTCCTGTCATTACTCCTACCCCTCCCTACCCTTACTCCTACCCCTCCCTCCCTTACTCCTACCCTTCCCTCCCTTACTCCTATCCCTTCCTCCCTTACTCCTACCCCTCCCTCCCTTACTCCTATCCCTTCCTCCCTTACTCCTACCCCTCCCTCTTTACTCCTTTCCCCCAGAACCTATCACTCACACAAGGCTCCTTAACAACGTTTCGACTCCTCCCGGCATCCACAGGACCATTCCACGTCTAACTAGTACCTAACCGTTTTGTTATCTCATCATTGTTGCAAAGGCGCCGTATAACATCTATCCTGGGATGTCACATCGCGGTTAAAAGTTTCATGTGTATTGTTTTAATGTATATGCACTCGAGACTGACACTTGAAGTGTTCTGACCCCACAGTTGTACCTGGGTATCGTATTAACTGCAGTCGTGGTGATCACTGGCATATTCTCGTACTATCAAGAGGCGAAAAGCTCCAGGATCATGGAGTCCTTTGCCAACATGGTGCCGCAGGTAAAGTATTTAGGCTATAAGGAGTGTCTTGTAGTTCGACAATGAACCCTCTAACACGTTTTCGTGTTAGTGTGTTGTTGCCGAAGATTCGTGTGGAAATTGTGTTGATAGGCCGCAGGAGAGTTAGTAACAGTTAAATAATATTTTTTTTGTATTATGTTCTGTTTATTTGTCTTGAGTAATGTACTGATTTCAGTTCGTTGAAAATTATATCTTGATTAAAAGTTGATGAAAACCCTGCAAGGAGTTCGCCTTCAGCATGCCAGGTAACCATTGAATTCCTTCAGGCTTCTGACATTTTATTATATCGATAGTTTAAATTGACAAATTTTAGGAACATGCTCGAAGCTAACTATGTTATATTATTTCTAGCTAATTAATTGGAAGAATATAAGAAAATTCTGAGTCATGAAAGACCTTGGTCAAAATTCCATGAGCAGGGCCCAAAAAATTAATTATCCACATTTCCAATCCATTATAAATGTGACGTATTTTTGTTGTTACTCAAAAAAAATGAATATAGTACAGTAAAGTCGAGCCAACATTATAGCAGGCTGTACAAGAAACGTCTTAATAATTAAGCAAGAACAAAAGGCAAGCGCTTGTAAGCTTTCGGGCTTACAACGATACCAGTCCGATCGCGTTTACAAATCTAGGTTCTGGGACTATACTTTCAAAACTCGCTAAGTGAACGTAAGTACTTACGCTCTGTTTTCTTGTCTATGATTGATGGATTTTGCTTGAAAGGCCGTCAATGATTGGCTGATGAACTTACGATCTCTTAACTTTTTTTTTAAAGTATAGGCCCAGGAGGCTAGGCTTCTGCAGGTGAGTTATGCTGGCAAAGCGAAACAGATTTCTGAAATATTTGTCTTTCATTTTCCAATGTTCTGTAACCTTAAGAAACCCCGTTTAATTTTCACCGACCAAATCCCTTTACGTACTCTATAGACCAAATCCCCCGCCGACCAAATCGCTTTACCCTCATTTTTCCTACTTAGTTCACGGTAAGGAACTAGCCAATCCCTTGCATGGCCGCTCGCTTTTCCCTTCTTCGTATGTAATGCTATTAAAACTCTTGTCGGTTTATATACACTAAGAGTTTTCTGTGTGGTTTATATACACGAAAAGTTTTCTGTGTAAACTTATCGTGGAAGCTGCGAGTTAACTCTCGCACATTACATTGAGTGGATGTCGTCGGACGAGAGCGAGGGCTTTTCAGAGGCGGTAAGGTTCCTGTATTTCCAATGATATATAATAGTCGAAAACTGTGGTTCTAGTGATACTAGCGACCTTTTTTTAAGTTATTGATAATGAATAGAATGGAATATAGAAGTCATTGTAAGTTTATTGATGTTTAATTTTATCCAAAAAAATGGTAGCAGGCTTTGGCAGCGATTTTTTAGAGTTAAAAACTTTCTGTAACGAAATAAATGATTATTTTTTGCATTATGACTTTCGTTTTAAAAATTGATGCAATAGTGCGCTGCCTGCCTTGGACAAACAAAATATCATGGTATTTTTTATTTTTTGACTTTTGTGTTAAAAGTTACAATAGCCTTTGACTTAAAATACAATAAAAATAAAAGTTACAATAGCCTTTGACTTACCATACAATAAAAATAAATAAAAGTTACAATAGCACGTTGCCTTTGCCAAACCTAACCGATGAATGTGCCGCAGTACGCGCTGGTGCTGCGAATCGCTTCATCTAAACTTTTTAAAGTATTATAAAACTGATATTTCTCCTACGCCTAACAAAATATCATGGTATTCTTTATTTTTTCACTTAGGGAGACTAGTGTATTTGTTGTTGTTGTTGTTGTAATTGTCTATCCTGGTAGTGGCGACTAGGTGAGGGAGACTAGTGTATTTGTTGTTGTTGTAATTGCCCATCCTGGTAGTGGCGACTAGGTGAGGGAGACTAGTGTATTTGTTGGTGTTGTAATTGTCCATCCTGGTAGTTGCGACTAGGTAAGGAAGACTAGTGTATTTGTTGTTGTTGTAATTGCCACTCATGGGAGTGGCGACTAGGTAAGGGAGACTAGTGTATTTGTTGTTGATGTTGTCCATCCTGGTAGTGGCGACTAGGTAAGGGAGAGGGTGATAGGTCAGTTTTTCCGGGCACTTGGTGCCACTGGTAGTTCCACGACCATCACTGGCTGCCACCAGTGCATTTCGGAGTGGTCCGCAATGAAATTTTCGTTCAATTTGTTTCTCGTTGCGATGTTGAAGTTTAAAAATGTTTCGCTGCTTTTATCAAGTTATGAAGGTTCCGAACTGCAAATTTATCTTTCGTCCCATCTGGCAAATAACGGTGAAACCCGGTTTAGTTGATTAATGTTAATTAAGTGAAACCGCTTACTCCTACGTTGTCCAACATCAGATATCTAGTGACATTATTCATTATTTATGGGAGTATGGTAGTCGCTTCTAAAGTAAAATCATCAAACCCGGTTTACTTAATTAATGTTAATTCAGTGAAAACGTTTACTCCAACGTTGTTCAACATCACAAATGTCTATATAGTGGCATTATTCATCATTTGGGAGTATGGTATTCATTTATGAAGTAAAATGATCAAAGTGGTATAATGCAAGTCATCCAGTAATGAGGCTGAAGTAAAGGTTGTGACAGTATTCATTATTTATCGAGTATGCTATTCGCTTATAAAGTAAAATTATCAAAGTGGTGTAATGCAAGAGTAAAGTTTGTGGCAGTATTTATTATTTATCGAGTATGTTATTCATTTAATTCATATTCAGAAGTAAAGGTTATCATGCCCGTGCAGGTCGACAACTCTTCGTTAACGGGAGAATCTGAGCCCCAGTCCCGGTCTCCGGACTTCACCAACGACAACCCCCTGGAGACACGCAACCTGGCCTTCTTCTCCACCAACGCCGTCGAAGGTCAGCATGTTATTTTTTAATATAAATAAACATTACAATAATCGCTGCTAACATTCGTGTCTAATGGTTGCGAAAGTTTACATGTCGTCTGTGTTATTCGTGCATCATCGCCTGGAGAGGTACTATCAAAAATAGTTTGTAACTTGTCAGCCAATCCAAGCCCGCCAAGAACAGAAGAAAACATTGTGAACTGAGCCCGCAGGTTAATCGAATTTTCATAATACGACGCCTGGTAATTAGAGTTTCATAGTACCACCCCTGGTAACTAGAGTTCTTCACAATAGACGAAAGATTAATGGGATTATGAAGTTCGTTGCGTTATGGCTAGGCCTTAGAGCGCCATGCTACAACCTAAGGAGGATTATGGAATTCAAATCGGCTACCTAGCAAACATTAAATATGTAACCTTTCAATGTTATGAGCCTTAGGTAACTTTCAGAATGAATTTCGCTTTGCGAAGTTTTTAAACTCCCGTGTTTCGGTAGTTAGAAATCGTCATTATGTTCAATTATCAATCCTTCATCTCTGTGACGTTGCAGCGCACCACGTCCTAGTTGTAGATTATAACTAAAACCTGCATTGTAAATTACACTTCAAGTAATCAAAATTTGAAACCGTATGAAAGCGCTTATGCTCTTAGGTTGTCTAAACCTTTAGTTTCTACCTCATAGTTTCCATTTTTCTCATAATCTCCGACAAGAGGCGATAGAATTTAACCTCCCATATCTACCTCTCTTAGTTTCAACTCGTATCCTATTATCTACGAGACAAGACAAAACTTTTAAAATTATTTTCTAATCTACCTCTATTAGTTTTAACTTCTATCATCTGCGAGGCAAAACAAGACATTTTCCATAGTTTCTAATCTACCTCTCTTAGTTATATATCCTATTATCTACGAGACAAGACAAAACTTTTGCAATAGTTTCTAATCTACCTCTCTTAGTTTTAACTTCTATCATCTGCGAGACAAAACAAAAATGTTTCCATAGTTTCTAACACGTTTGTGTTGCAGGAACCGCCCAAGCGCCATAGTTTCTAACAAGTTTGTGTTGCAGGAAACGCCCGGGGCGTGGTGATCAACATTTTTTCCAAGTTTCTAACACGTTTGTGTTGCAGGGACCGCTCGAGCGCCATGGTTTCTAACACGTTTGTGTTGCAGGGACCGCTCGAGCGCCATGGTTTCTAACACGTTTGTGTTGCAGGGACCGCTCGAGCGCCATAGTTTCTAACCCGTCTGTGTTGCAGGAACTGCCCGGGGCGTGGTGATCAACATAGGAGATCACACTGTGATGGGTCGCATCGCTGGTCTGGCCACGGCCCTGGAGACAGGCGACACCCCCATCGCTAAGGAGATCGCCCACTTCATCCACATCATCACAGGCGTCGCTGTCTTCCTCGGAGTGACCTTCTTCATCATTGCCTTCATCGTCGGTGCGTTCATGTCAACTTTTAGCGAATGTTTTAATTAATTTAGTTTAGTAATTAATTAATTTAATTAATGTTTTCATTAATTTAGCTACCCCTCCTCAGAACCCATTATAACTATGTGCAATTGAGTGTTCAAATAAATATAATTTTAGCGAATGTGATCTTCTTTAGAACAAATCAAACCCTTCCTCAAAACCCATTTAACTTTGTGCAATTGAGTGTGCAAATACATATACCTGTATCTAAAAAAACAATACGCTTCTAAAAGATTGCTTCGTGCATAGTTAGGGTGGCCATTAGCCACAAAAATGGTTTGTTCCCTGTTGAGCTGTGGATTAAATCGTTGACATATGAGCTTAGGTCGAGAGATCGTCATCTCGTGATAGCCACTGCGTTTTGTTTTCTTCATTAATTATTATTTGCAATGACATTGCAGGCTACCACTGGCTCGACGCTGTCGTCTTCCTGATCGGTATTATCGTCGCCAACGTGCCCGAAGGTCTGCTTGCCACTGTGACCGTATGTCTCACCCTCACTGCCAAGCGCATGGCTGCCAAGAACTGCCTTGTCAAGAACTTGGAAGCTGTCGAAACTCTCGGTTCTACCTCGACTATTTGCTCCGATAAAACCGGCACCCTGACTCAGAATCGTATGACTGTCGCTCACTTGTGGTTCGATAACCAGATTATTGAAGCCGACACCTCTGAAGATCAGTCCGGTGGTCAAATAGACAAGTCTTCGAACGGATGGAAAGCTCTGTCGACCATCGCTGCTCTGTGCAACAGAGCTGAGTTCAAGTCTGGCCAAGACGGTGTGTCCATTCTTAAACGTGAGGTAAACGGTGATGCTTCTGAAGCCGCCCTCCTCAAGTGCTGCGAACTTGCCTGTGGCGATGTCTTGGAATGGAGGAAACGTAACAAGAAGGTCTGCGAAATTCCTTTCAATTCTACCAACAAATACCAAGTGTCTATCCACGAAACCGAAGATAAGAGTGACCCTAGGTATCTGCTCGTGATGAAGGGCGCTCCTGAGAGGATCCTTGAACGCAGTTCAACAATCTTCATCAACAACGAAGACAAGCCCCTGGACGAAGATATGAAGGAAGCTTTCAACAACGCCTACCTTGAACTCGGAGGTCTCGGCGAGCGTGTACTCGGTTTCTGCGACTACAAACTTCCCGCTGACAAGTACCCTGTTGGTTTCCCCTTCGACGCTGAAAACTGCAACTTCCCCGTACACGGCCTCCGCTTCGTAGGCCTCATCTCGCTCATTGACCCGCCTCGTGCTGCCGTGCCTGATGCCGTAGCTAAGTGCAGGTTCGTTGCACTCCCAAGTCCAGGGCCTATACTTTCAAAAAAGTTAAGAGATCGTAAGTTCATCAGCCAATCATTGACGGCCTTTCAAGCAAAATCCACCAATCATAGACAAGAAAATAGAGCGTAAGTACTAACGTTCACTTAGCGAGCTTTGAAAGTATCCACCAATCATAGACAAGAAAATAGAGCGTAAGTACTTACGTTTTTCATAGCGAGTTTTGAAAGTAAAGCACCAGGGCCCATACTTTCAAAAAAAGTTAGGAGATCGTAAGTTCATCAGCCAATCATTGACGGCCTTTCAAGCAAAACCCACCAATCACAGACAAGAAAATAGAGCGTAAGTACTTACGTTCACTTAGCGAGTTTTGAAAGTATGGCCCCAGGTTCGTTGCACTCCAAGAGCAGGTTCGTTGTACTCCAGTTAATGGAAACGTGTGAATATTTCACCAAAATTGGCAGTAATTGCCACTCACTCCGTTTAGAAACATTTTGGCCAAAAAATTTTTGAAGCGCTTAAAAATTCTGAACTTGATTTTCCAGCAAACGGGGTTTCAGTGCAAAATGCGTCTATCGATGCAGATTGAAAGTGGCAGATATTAATGCTGAAATCTAGTCGAAAAACATATAATGTCCAGTAGATTGAATATATACTAGTCTTTATCATATTTAAAATGAGATGCATAGCAAGTGATAATATTCTCTTAATGTATTTCCTCCTTCAAGAAAATTCTAAAAATTATCTTGACAAATGTCCTCCAATCTCGTGCGCATTATCTTGACTACAAGACTTTTTGCTTAGGTCCTTTAGGAAAATTAGTAAAATTATCTTGACAAATATTCTTCATTCTCATCCGTATTTCATAAGACTGTTGTTTGCCCAGGTCGGCCAGTATCAAAAAATGTCCTCAAATCTCGTGTGCATTATCTTGATAACAAGACTTTTTTTGCTCCGGTCCAATGTTTTGCGTATTTCACAAGACTTTTTTGCCCAGGTCGGCCGGTATAAAAAAAATGTCCTCAAATCTCGTGCGCATTACCTTGACAACAAGACTTTTTTTGCTCCGGTCCAATGTTTTGCGTATTTCACAAGACTTTTTTGCCCAGGTCGGCCGGTATAAAAAAAATGTCCTCAAATCTCGTGCGCATTACCTTGACAACAAGACTTTTTTTGCTCCGGTCCAATGTTTTGCGTATTTCACAAGACTGTTGTTTACCCAGGTCGGCCGGTATAAAAAAAATGTCTTCAAATCTCGTGTGCATTATCTTGACAACAAGACTGTTGTTTGCCCAGGTCGGCCGGTATCAAAAAATGTCCTCAAATCTCGTGCGCATTATCTTAATAACAAGACTTTTTTTGTTCCGGTCCAATGTTTTGCGTATTTCAAAAGACTGTTGTTTACCCAGGTCGGCCGGTATAAAAATATGTCTTCAAATCTCGTGCGCATTATCTTGACAACAAGACTTTTTTTGCTCCGGTCCAATGTTTTGCGTATTTCACAAGACTGTTGTTTGCTCAGGTCGGCCGGTATAAAAAAATGTCTTCAAATCTCGTGCGCATTATCTTGACAAGACTTTTTTACCTCCGGTCCAATGTTTTGCGTATTTCACAAGACTCTTTTTTGCCCAGGTCGGCCGGTATCAAAGTAATCATGGTAACGGGTGACCATCCCATCACGGCGAAGGCCATCGCCAAGTCCGTGGGTATCATCAGTGAAGGGAACGAGACGGTCGAGGACATCGCTCAGCGCCTCAACATTCCCATCAAGGAGGTCGACTCTAGACAAGCCAAGGCTGCTGTCGTGCACGGTATCGAACTCAGGGACATGACGTCCGACCAACTCGACGATATCCTCAGGTTAGTGAACGCTTCACATTATTCTAGCCTCACATTATCCTAGCCTCACATTATCCTAGCCTCGCATTATCCTAGCCTCACATTATCCTAGCCTCACATTATCCTAGCCTCACATTATCCTAGCCTCACATTATCCTAGCCGCACATTATCCTAGCCTCACATTATCCTAGCCGCACATTATCCCCTGGCCTCACATTATCCTAGCCTCACATTATCCNGAGATGTGTATAAGAGACAGGTCCCACATGAGCGGTTGTTGCGTAAATTGAAGTCTTTGGGAATTGAGAGTAATGTACTCAAATGGATCAGAGATTTTCTAGTAGGGAGGCGACAACGTGTCAGTATTAATGAGTCCGTATCAGACTGGGCTTCTGTGCGCAGCGGCGTGCCACAAGGAAGCGTTCTCGGGCCTATTCTATTCCTGTCTCTTATACACATCTAGATGTGTATAAGAGACAGTTCTTATCCTAGCCTCACATTTCTTATCCTAGCCTCACATTTCTTATCCTAGCCTCACATTTCTTACCCTAGCCTCACATTTTTTATGTTTGCCTCACATTTCTTATCCTAGCCTCACATTTCCCATCTGAGCTTCATGCGCAATGCGTATATCCTGTCTATAGTATGTACGCTCGGTCATTCAAATGTTCATTTTCCCTAAATAATGACACATTTTCTGTACATAGCACTGATAGGCTTTTCCGCCGGGCCTAACTGGGCCAGTATTATCCACACTAAGGCAAAAAGTGCATCGCTATTTGGACAAATTTTCACTGATTTCTTTGGTTGATAATGGCAGAAATTCGCATCTTTTGTCATCACTTGGACGCCTCATGATAAGGATCTGGTGTAAAAATCCTTGTCTTGTGGTGGTAAAAGAGGATTACTTCATAAACCTTAAGTGTTTGACAAATAGTTGTATTATTGATATTATGATAAAGAGTCGTTACGTGTTAGACAAATCATTAGTTCGGTATTTTGTGTCGACTACAAAAGCTAGTGCGAATGTAAGAAATTAAAATAATCATTTTGTTTATGAAAGATTCAGCCAGTATATGCAATTATTCTTATCTTTCGTTAGTTGTCCCAATTTAGTTGTTCTTTTTCAACTTAGTCCTTAGTTTAGTCTTAAATATTTGTTTGGGACGTAGCAGTCCCAGGCCACGATGGATCGTCGCCTCTGACTATCTATCGCGCATCCGCCCTCATTTGGGCCACCTGATGCTCGATAATGCACGATCGTATTTAAGATAATTTATGTTGCAGGCATCACACGGAGATCGTATTTAAGATAATTTATGTTGCAGGCATCACACGGAGATCGTATTTAAGATAATTTATGTTGCAGGCATCACACGGAGATCGTATTTAAGATAATTTATGTTGCAGGCATCACACGGAGATCGTATTTAAGATAATTTATGTTGCAGGCATCACACGGAGATCGTATTTAAGATAATTTATGTTGCAGGCATCACACGGAGATCGTATTTAAGATAATTTATGTTGCAGGCATCACACGGAGATCGTATTTAAGATAATTTATGTTGCAGGCATCACACGGAGATCGTATTTAAGATAATTTATGTTGCAGGCATCACACGGAGATCGTATTTAAGATAATTTATGTTGCAGGCATCACACGGAGATCGTATTTAAGATAATTTATGTTGCAGGCATCACACGGAGATCGTATTTAAGATAATTTATGTTGCAGGCATCACACGGAGATCGTATTTAAGATAATTTATGTTGCAGGCATCACACGGAGATCGTATTTAAGATAATTTATGTTGCAGGCATCACACGGAGATCGTATTTAAGATAATTTATGTTGCAGGCATCACACGGAGATCGTATTTAAGATAATTTATGTTGCAGGCATCACACGGAGATCGTATTTAAGATAATTTATGTTGCAGGCATCACACGGAGATCGTATTCGCGCGCACGTCGCCCCAACAGAAGCTCATCATCGTCGAGGGTTGCCAGAGACTTGGTGCCATCGTTGCCGTGACTGGCGACGGTGTCAACGACTCGCCCGCCCTCAAGAAGGCCGACATCGGTGAGTCTTGCGGCAACCTTGCTTACTAATACAATATTCTCAGTATACAATAGTAGCACACGGACTGTATTCTGTATACTGTATAGAATACACTATAGTAGCAAACGATTGTATTCTGTACATGTATACTGTATAGAATTCACAATAGTAGCACACGGACTGTATTAGTGCTAGACAACGTGCAGAAAACCAAGAATGGATCTGGTGCATTAATTCAGATCAATTAATTTAGCGGGTGGAATTTAGAGATTATCAATTTCAGTCTGCGTATTTTTGTGAGCTTTTTTCAATAATTTCTTGAATGAGTCGCGAGTTTTGGAAGAATTCTACACGCGCGGTATAAATCGATTAGCAAAACTGCGCTGTTTTTTTTTTACTTTTTAGGGAAAGTAACCTTTGCACTTCTATGCTGTCAATATTGCTGTCCGCTCTCTGCACATGCAGTGGATTAAAACATGTGTCGTTATTTGGACAACATGACGCTTTAATTTTGTGAGTCTACGGTTCATGTGGCAGCAATTGTTACTTGGACAACTTGACGCTTTAATTTTGTGAGTGTGCCGTGCATGTCGCAGCAATTGTTATTTGGACAACATGACGCTTTAATTTTGTGAGTGTACCATGCAATATCGCAGCAATAACCGCGGCTGTTGTTCACAGGAGTCGCCATGGGTATCGCAGGCTCGGACGTGTCCGTTATTTGGACAACTTGACTATTTAATTTTGTGAGTGTGCCATGCAATATCGCAGGCTCGGACGTGTCCGTTATTTGGACAACTTGACGCTTTAATTTTCTGAGTGTGCCGTGCAATATCGCAGCAATAACCGCGGCTGTTGTTCACAGGAGTCGCCATGGGTATCGCAGGCTCGGACGTGTCTGTTATTTGGACAACTTGACTATTTAATTTTCTGAGTGTGCCATGCATGTCGCAGCAATTGTTATTTGGACAACTTGACGCTTTAATTTTCTGATTGTAGTATCGTAGCAATAACCGACGCTGTTGTTCACAGGTGTGGCCATGGGTATCGCAGGCTCGGACGTGTCCAAACAAGCCGCCGACATGATCCTGCTCGACGACAACTTCGCCTCGATCGTCACGGGCGTCGAGGAAGGCCGCCTTATCTTCGATAACCTCAAGAAGTCCATCGCCTACACACTTACATCTAACATTCCCGAGATCTCACCATTCTTGTTCTTCATGTGCGGTTCAGTGCCTCTGCCTCTTGGCACCGTCACCATTCTTTGCATTGATCTGGGCACGGACATGGTGAGTTCTTATACATTATAAGCCATTATCATTAATTATATCTCACCATTCTTGTCCTTAACATTCCCGAGATCTCACCATTCTTGTTCTTCATGTGCGGTTCAGTGCCTCTGCCTCTTGGCACAGTCACCATTCTTTGCATTGACTTGGGCACGGACATGGTGAGTTCTTATACATTATAAACCAACTTACGTCTAACATTCCCTAGATCTCACCATTCTATAAGCCATTATCATTAATTATAAACCATTACCGTATCATTATCAACTTAACTGAACTTTTTTGGAGAGTACGTTTTGTGTCGTATTGAATCATGGATTCTATTGTGATAACATTATAAAATGTATGCATCAATTTTGTAACTCGAATCGGAAAAGTCTATTGAAAGGTTTTAAAAAAGTCCCTCTAAATCCTGTAATTTTAACTATCTTGAAACGAATATAAATGGTTCAAAATCATTAATTTAAATTCACAAGTATAGCCAAGAAGTGGAAAAAGTCCACTTGTCGATACAGCACCTAATTTGTCGAAACTTTAGCTATCTGGGATCCAAAACAAATTTTGCTGCCAATAAGTATAAATATCATTTATTTTTGTCTCTGACATTGTATTTACAATAACTGGTCTCTGAACATGGAGATCCCAGCGATATCTCTTGCTTACGAGAGAAGCGAGTCTGATATCATGAAGCGCTTCCCTCGTAGCGCCGCTACTGATAAACTCGTCAACGAGAGGTGCCTATCTTTTTGTTACATATTTATGGTGCTTTGCCAGATATCTATTGCGTATTTATGGTACTCTGCCAGATATCTATTGCATATTTATGGTACTCTGCCAGAAATATAGCGCGTTTTTATGGTAGTCTGTCAGATATCTATTGCGTATTTATGGTACTCTGCCAAAATATCTATTGCGTACTTATGGTACTCTGCCAGAAATCTATTGCGTATTTATGGTACTCTGCAAAATATCTATTGCGTATCCATTGTACGCTATCAAATTGTTCTACGTAATTCTCAAGCGTAGTTTTTATGCGTTTAATGTATGCTGAACCTATTGCTAACTTCGTGAGCTGTTGGCAGTAAACTGATCTAGTATGTGAATAATGTTTATAGCTATTATTATCTATTATTCGTGGTAGTCAACTTGAACATTTATTTTAGATGGTAAGCTAGATATAGTTTTGGCCAGGGCAAAAATTAACAACAGTTGCTGAATATCTCGCATAATTCAAATCGTATATTTATTATTCTTTTACTGAAATCAACTAATTTATATATATTTTTCATTTTTCCACTGATAGATTGCCTTATACCTACTGAGTAAATGTATAATTATTGCTATTATGCCTCCAGGATTAATGATAAATATTACTTATTTAATCTTGATTATTTTGTAGACTCTTATACTTTTTGCCCTTCATCGTCACGTGTATTTGATATTTTATGAAAGTTACTTGCAGGTTTTACAGGAGTTGGTGGAGCGACCAAGATCTCTTATTTCATTTAATTAACAGGACTTGGTAACGCATTATGTGACGCCTCGTGTACCGCAAGGTGCTAATGTACTTATAACAATTATTCTTACATTTGTAACAATTGTTCTTGTACTTGTAACAATTGTTCTTGTGTCCGTCTTGTAACAATTATTCTCGTACTTGTAACAATTATTCTTACACTTGTAACAATTGTTCTTGTACTTGTAACAATTATTCTTGTACTTGTAACAATTGTTCTTGTACTTGTAACAATTATTCTTGTACTTGTAACACATGTACTTGTAACAATTATTCATACATTTGTAACAATTGTTCTTGTACTTGTAACAATTGTTCTTACACTTGTAACAATTGTTCTTGTGTCCGTCTTGTAACAATTGTTCTTGTACTTGTAACAATTGTTCTTGTATTTGTAACAATTGTTCTTGTGTCCGTACACGACAGTTTCTATGTTTACTTAACGTTCAACTTCTTCCCTGGCATTCTTTGTCCTACTCGACTGACTCTAGCTGTCGCTAGTGTCTAACATCCATGGCACTAAATTTGTTGTGCAAATCATCCTTGACAAAACTGTGATTCTTCTACGATTACTTTCCAAGATTGTGTTGAAGCGAACATTTTTCTCCTGCATATCAAAAATCTTTTATACGTAAAAATAACTTCTTTCCCAACCACTATGCGTCGTCGAAACTTGGTCTCGGCTATGACATATTCACGGAGAACTGATTCATTCACAATAGCAATTTATCAAATATTAATTAGGAATAAATTTTGATATAGTATAGTTGCATCGTCCCCCATTACGATATCCTTCCTCCAGTTTCTATATTATGTGTGTCCCAAATCGTAATAATTTCAAAACTTCATATGTCGATATTCATTTCTTTATGTTCAATAGCGAAATCTTTAACGACCTTCCTAAATGATCACTACATTCTCACTTACCCTCTCTTGATCAGTCCGTATTATTTGATTTTTTAAAAGGCTTAGGTTTTCAAATTTTCTGAAATTCTACGCTCTTATTGGAGCTATGGCAAGTCAATCTCTAATTTCAGTAGCAGCTACTGGAAAACATCGAAGCCATACCACTCGCATTTTCCTCCACTACGAAACTTCTTGTACTGCTACGATAATAGTTCTCTAAATGCAGTTTTTTTTATCTTAATATGAAAATACTCATGTTAAACCTGAACTTTTTTCGTTAATTTCGGGACCTTCTCTAAAGTTTTACTACTATTACTCTGAGCTCTTACGACGATAGTTCTGTAAATGCAGTTTTTTTCATCTTAATATTGAAATACTCATGTTAATCCTGATCTTTATTTCATTTATTCGGGACATTTTACTACTCTACTCTCTATATCGGGACAGTTTTACTACTCTTACTCTGAGCTCTTCCTTAGGTCCCTGCCATTGCGCTAGCGTACGAACGCGCAGAGTCGGATATAATGAAACGATATCCTCGTGATCCTTTCAAAGATAAACTCGTGAATGAAAGGTAAAAACCTTTCGTGGCTTACCACTCGATGAGTGGTGTTTGGCTGCCACTCTGGTCGGCTCTTCTTACTTTGCTCCTGCGCTCCTCCATTTTTGCACGTTATTTTTACCGATATTTACATCTTTGTATTATTATTATTCCTCAATTGGCTTCATCATTTCCATCTCTTTTTCTGCCACATCATCCTCGGATGTTTCTTTACGTTTACTTTTAATCGAGCACTTGTGTTCCTTCATTTAAATTTCTTCTGGTCCCGTCAGTCTCTCTTATTTCTCGTTTGTTTCCACTGCGACCGCAACGTCTTTCTTCCTTTATATTCTTCACAAAAATAAATGCCCGACAGATTATCAACTGTATTGCCTATATTTTCTTCACAACTTGTATGATTTTCTACATATGCCAAGATTGCGTGTTTGAATTAAACGTGGTATTTTACATTGTCCTGCCAAAGAATATTGATTTACCACGTTACTTCTTGTATGGATTTACTCTTATGAACTTTTCTCTATTTTAAATGAACACATTTCATTATTGTCAATCCTCACGATTGTACATTATGACGATGGGTTTTAAGGTCGCCAGACATATTTTTGACATATTTTTCCACTCGTTTTTATGTGTTGCGTGCCCGGCTGTGTATTTGTGCCGTTGTTTGACTTTTTACAGCTATTCTGAATGATGAACTTTTATAATTAATTATCTTGTATCATACAATTTGATTTCCAATCAATGTTCTAATCAACTTTTCCAAGTCATACAGTTTGATTTCCAATCAATATCAACTTTTCCTTGGCTTGAATAGATCTATAAGCTAATTTCGAAGATTCTTTTTGTTCTTGACGCTCTCTTCATGTTGAAAAGCTTGATGATATCTCCCTCGTTCATGGTTCAACATTGCATCGTCTACCACGGATCTGATGGTGGTTACAAAGAGGGACTGGCAGTTAAGCTTATGTTATTCTAATTTCAACATCATTTGCTCTTGGATGAAGTTTTAAAATGTGTTTTTCCGTATGATGAATTATGCAAAAGTCGTTATTTTTGGGGGCTTTAATGATGGCTTAACTTCCATGATGGCTTCGTTCCACTTCGACGGACTTGGCATTAGAGGATTGTTGATCTGTTGCGTCATTTCGTGTCGCTAGAGATTATTTCGATCGAAATAACAATAAAATCAGTATCATTTGATAAGTTTGACTGCGATAACAATAAAACCAGTATCATTTGATAAGTTTGACTGCGATAACAATAAAATCAGTATCATTTGATTACTTCGACTGCAATAACAATAAAATCAGTATCATTTGATTACTTCGACTGCAATAACAATAAAATCAGTATCATTTGATAAGTTTGACTGCAATAACAATAAAATCAGTATCATTTGATTACTTCGACTGCAAATCAAAAATTATTGTAGTTTTGATAATTATATATAATTAACCAGCCTGTGCCTATAACAGTGATGACAAATTTATTTGCTAACAGCAGGTAACTTAAAATTTTCTTCACGTCTCAGTTCGTCTAACTCACAAGAGGGATCGAATAAATTCTCATACGGCATCTTAGATTTATTGAATCTTCTCGATTTAAAAATTTATATTTGGCCAGAACATTGCAATTTTCATTTGCAGACGGAATGATTGCTCCATATATCTTACATTATATTGGTTGTATATCTAAACACATCTCGCATACTTATTGGCATAAACTATCAAAATTCCTTTCACGCATTTCGCATTATTGATATTACTTAACAACGCATCCACGACGAAGCATATAGTCTCGTTGTTTATTTTGCTTCTAGATTTCGAAGTGTCCACTCGCTGAAGCTTTCAGCACATTGGTGTGCGAATGTCGCTTCTTTGTCCATGTCGAATTCATGCAGATTTTTGCATCTTGCTGTAGGGTGGGTACCTCGCGCGAAGAAATTCATTCATTCTTCTCACTTGCCTGAATTTAACGTGTCTTTGTCAGTAATGAGAAGTAAGATTGTTTTTTTTTTTGTCTCGTCTTAACCATATCATTCATTCTTCTCAATTGTCTCAATTAATGTTTCTTTGTCAGTAATGAGAAGTAATATTGTTTTTTTTTTTGTCTCGTCTTAACCCTATCATTCATTCTTCTCAATTGTCTCAATTAANTTTTTTTTTTTTTTTTTTTTTTTTTTTGTCTCGTCTTGACCTAAACTCCATTGATGAATATCCCGTTCGAATCTTTTAGTTTCAATGCAACTGATTAGTGCATTTAGTTTCATGAAACCTCCACACTCTCTTGGTCCCTATCGAGCGTTAGGGGATAGGTCTAGTAGATAAACTATTGGTGCAAAATGCTCGTTAATAATGATAAATTGTAACGAGGAATATCATTTTATTTGTACTTCTATTTATTGTAACATACATAAATTTTTAAATATTGATTTTCAAATCTACACTATCATGGCTTTAGCCATTCTGTGTAGCGTCTTTTCGACGCTGCAATGACTTCTTGATTGATCAATTTGTGACTTATTACGGTAAAATACATTTATTTACAGAAAAAATACTACTGATATCAGTGAAGTCTAGGTTTTCAAGCCGTTGATGTCGATAAAAATGTTTTTTATTCTCTATTTTTCCGCAGTCTAGTTACATGAAGTTGATCAGTTGGTTCTTTCTCACGCGGTTTCATTCCGCACTCATAGTTGTTCACTTGCTTCTACTCGTTTCCTGTGTTTTGTATATATACGAGACGTGGTCGTTGCGTATAACAGGAATATTGCAAATTGTGCTAATGTAATCTTGACGTTACACTGCATTCAACTGACCTAATGAATTTCATTTCATCATGATAATTCATTTTGAGGGTTCGATAATGCTAGCTTTTTTTAACCATGCCTCTTTATTATATCTTAATATTTGCCGCGCATAATTTTTTATTTCGTCAATTAGCTATATATATAACTGATCCTTATCGCACATACTTTTTTCGTTTAATTTTTTTTCTTTCAGCTCATAATAGTTTAATTTTTTTTTCTTTCAGCTCCTAATATTACGTTGGTTTGAGTTTTATTTTGTTGCTAATTTATTTATGTTTGATTCCTGTAGTAGCCGCTGCAGCCGTCGCAAATCCAGGTTTTTTATTTCCTTTATTTGCACATTATTTTTAACTCATGTCTTCCATGGCAAGGTTTTTTTAATTTACTTTATTTGCACATTATGTTTAACTCATGACTTCCCTGGCTTGCACTTAGGTACCAGCTATCTCCCTGGCTTACGAAGAAGCCGAGTCCGATATTATGAAGCGACATCCTAGGAATCCTTTCAAGGATAAACTTGTCAATGAAAGGTAATACGGAAGGATGATGAATCTCTACTCGTTCAATATACTTGCCTGACTCGCCTCCTACTACTAAACCTTTCTTCCGACTGCCGTCCCTTTCAAAGTCAAACTTCCTTCAATACTAGCTTTTTCCTTTTCAAACGGCTATTAAGCTCCGATTTATCCTGTGAATAAAGTCAACTCGTCGTCATTCGATCTCAAGTCATTGCTTGAAAAAAAATGTTCTTAAATGTAGCTCATATTTATAACAAGGAATGATATCGAATGAAACTATGAACTCTACTCTAGTTAGCGGGTGATGACCTTTAAGTGTGGGTTCTCTGGTGAACTGCATGACCCCTTTTATCTGTAGTAGGATCGTCAATGTTCCCTCATCTCAGTTCATGTTATATTCTCTTGGCTTCCCCTGAACTGCGCTACTTAAGATCCAGGCTTCACGTGTATGGGGAATGAACTTTCCTGACATCTTCATCACTAACTTTACCGTCCTGTTTTGAATGCTTTGTGGGAGCCATCACCGTTTTTTTTTATTTCTATACCATACATCTTATTTACGTTTTATTCTGCACTGCATGCTGCTTGCTATTTTTCTGTATGCTTCTCACCATTAAACACATTTTTGGTAAGGCGGGAAATTTTTTAGCACTCATTTTGAAGTTTGGCAGTGAAATCGTTTGATTCAATTGGCATTTTTTTAATGCACCATGCGAGAGATGCATGGATCATATGCGGTGGCGATGGCCTGAGATTTAATTAGCTCTTGTCCAATGAAGTCATTTTACACTTTTGGTCTTGTGGTTGTGAGCTTTCCTTTTGTCTCTGAGGTTTGCTTGTTGTGCTGAGCTTCAACTTTTGAGTTAAGCTTGAAATAAAGGTAAGATGCTCGAGCTGCACTTTTGTCGAGGTGCGGCAAAAGCCATTCTTTTCGCCTGAATGATAATTTCTTCTTCGAGGGCCTTGATTCCGTCCGAAGAGGGAACGTGTTTCGGAACCGAACTTTCAGCCTCTCTTTCATTTATCTCTCGTTTGTTTGCACTCACGATATTCATTATTCACTTTTCGCTGATAATTTTTTTTTTTCACCCTGAGAAAACTTGACTTTCATTTCACTGGCTTGTGACGCGTGGTCTGTAAGGCAACAAGAATCGGTGCAACGTTCTTTATATTTGTTGGAGACGCAGAGATGACACGGACGGTGTTGTTGTGACTGGTGAGTGTACTGTAATAGTGACATTGCTAATGACAGCGATGGTGTAATGCAGGTGCCTGCTATATCCTTGGCCTATGAGGCTGCCGAGGCCGACATAATGAAGCGTGAACCCCGTGACCCTTGGCATGACAAGCTTGTCAACTACAGGTGGGTGATGACCCTTGGCATGACAAGCTTGTCAACTACAGGTGGGTGATGACCTCGCGCTTTTTGATCGTGTTGTTCCGATGCAAGCCTTTTCGACGAAACTTTTTGACTGCTCCAAAATAGTCATTTAGGTTCGTTCGCAACCACCGCAACCAATAGTCATTTAGGTTCGTTCGCAACCACCTTTTCGACGAAACTCTTTGACTGCTCCATAAACTATACCGTACGGTCAACACTTGCAGGGTCAGGGCTGGTTCAGGCATTTGAAAGTTGCTGGGTCACAATTTTGAGTTTCGTTGACGATGAAGTAACATTTTTTCGCCACAGTTTTTTTACTTTGTTCTACACAGTGAAATTCAAACTGGTTTTATTTTTTATTCGAGGGTGGGATACATATACGTATAGTACTACAAAAATCTTTGGATTGTCCTAAACTATTATAGAACCTCGGTGTTTTAAGGTGAGTTTTTTCCTGATTTTTGCGTTCCGTTTGAATTGTGGATTTGGTTTTCTGAGATTTAATTCTGAGAGATTTTATGCTTCAAACCCAACTGGTTTCTAAAGCTCATGCTGGTTTGTGCGTGCTGCTTCGGAGATTCTTTTGACAGTTCGTGTGAACATTCTACATTTCCTTCACACTAGTTTATTATAACGTGTACACGATCACGAATGTGATTGAGGTTATACTTACTTTTGAGACAGACATCCTAATTTTAATTACATTCATGTGTAAAATTTCATCCTGCAACTTTAAGTGTCATTTATCCAATATTTCTGTCATCTCAACTACTGTTTATCGATTTTACTTGCAGAATTGGCATGTCTGATTTCAGAATTACCATTTGCATGGTTCAAAATGTAACGAACATTCACAATGTCGCTCCGACAGAAGCCAGATTAAGATACAGTTTAATCCTCAATTTATCCATTTTGGCCATGCGCACAATGCTGAAAAATTAGCATGACAATCTGCATGTTTCTGATTTCATTCTCCCAACTCTTAATATGACCTCATTTTTCAATTCTTATTCGTGTTGTGTATCCCATTCACTCATTCATTTATTGCGTGTGTGTTCTTGATCATTGGCATGAACTGCATCTGGTTATTTATCTTCTTAATCATAATCATCATCTTCTTAATCATAATTAAGGTTCTCTGAATCCTGCTTACTGTTATATGCTCTTGCATATCTTGTTTAACTCGTGTATATTGGTTTATTAATTGATGCTAATTAATTCGGTGCAATTTGTTGCTGTAAATTGTTTCAGCCTTTGTTTAGGAAAGCTATAAATATTCATTTTCTTCTGCTTCTGTACAGCAGATGGTATTTTGTAATGAATTTCCTGTAAAATACTACTTATCATTAACTGAATTTCAAAGCTTTGTACTAAAACTTGCTCTTCTTACAAGAATGAATTTTTCGTCAGTTATTTGACGTGCAAGAATGTAGAATTAAACTCAAATATTACGATTGCTTAACGCTGAATTCATTTCAACTCGATCTTAAGACTTGTATTATGTACTTACATTGGAAATTATTTTCGACTATGAATTCGTTACCATTACTTTTTCATTAACTGCCTATAAGAGTGAGTGCCTATATGAAATATTCTTGTCTTAGATTCATGAAGATTTGCATTGCTGCCTAAATCATCCATACATAAGGATTCTTTCTTTAATCGAATTCTGCTGATATAACCATATTAGTAGGCACCATGCGTTACCGATAACCATTCGTTATTCGAGTTATTGCTGTGAAATTATTGATTGTATTTCTTGCGGTGGCAGATTGATCTCGATGGCTTATGGCCAGATCGGCATGATCCAAGCCCTCGCTGGCTTCTTTACTTACTTCGTTATCATGGCCGAGAATGGCTTCTTGCCTCCCTTCCTCTTCGGTCTCCGTGAGACCTGGGACTCCAAGGCTATCAACGATCTCACCGACTCCTATGGCCAAGAATGGGTATGGTCACAAATATGTGCCTTGTATTTTGCTGAATGATATATGTCTATGATGCTAATGTGACTGATGTATAACCCCACTCTATTTAAATTTACTATTTGAAATTAATAATTAAACTTGATAAAGGGGCAAATCTCGCGATTGACGCGGTTAGCCTCGTGATATGAATAACTAAGTCTTCAACTCTTGAAAATTTCTTCGGGATGATCTTTTCTTTCTGTAGAAGATTTACCTTCAAGAAACTAGTTTTAGAAAGATCATTACACGGCACTAGCTACGGCTCGCACTATGCCGGTGCGACCGATTTATACTGCAAAATCTACGTCAACGCTCAGTTTGAATTTTGGTCATCATAATTGTAACGTTTTAACCGAAACAAGAATCAAAAAGTAGTTTCGCACTCAACTATTTCGATTTTTCTAGTGTATTGACTAACGTTTTGATTCCTTCACAGACCTACTATACAAAAACTAGTTTCGAACTTCCCTAACTCAATTTTTCTAATGTAGTGACTAACGTTTTGATTCTTTCACAGACCGACAATACAAAAACTAGTTTCGCACTTGCCTATTTCGATTTTCCTAATGTATTGACTAACGCATTGATTCTTTGACAGACCTACTTTGACCGCAAGAAGCTAGAGTACACTTGCCACACCGCGTTCTTCGTGTCGATCGTGATTGTGCAGTGGGCCGATCTTATCATCTGTAAGACTCGACGTAACTCCATCGTGCATCAGGGCATGAAGTGAGTACCTAGAACCTGTGTTACTGGAACCGTCTTTGTATGCACTCGATGTGAGTGCCTATAGAACCTTTGCTCCTGAAACCATCTTTGTATGCACTCGATGTGAATGCCTATAGAACCTGTATTACTGAAACCATCTTTGTATGCACTCGATGTGAATGCCTATAGAACCTTTGTTACTGAAAGCGTCTTTGTATGCACTCGATGTTTCATTGAAAGAATTTCATTCGTTAATGAAGTGAGTGCCTATAGAACCTGTGTTACTGAAACCGTCTTTGTATGCACTCGATGTTTCATTGTGAAAGAATTTCATTCGTCAATGAAGTGAGTGCGTAGAACCTGTGCTCCTTAAGCATCTTTGTATTCACTCGATGTTCCATTGTGAAAGAATTTCATTCGTCAATGAAGTGAGTACCTATAGAACCTTTGTTACTGAAACCGTCTTTGTATGCACTCGATGTGAATGCCTATAGAACCTTTGTTACTGAAACCATCTTTGTATGCACTCGATGTGAATGCCTATAGAACCTGTGTTACTGAAACCATCTTTGTATGCGCTCGATGTTTCATTGTGAGAGAATTTCATTCGTCAATGAAGTGGGTGCCTATAGAACCTTTGCTCCTGAAAGCGTCTTTGTATGCACTCGATGTTCCATTGTGAAAGAATTTCATTCGTCAAAGAAGTGAGTACCTAGAACCTGTGTTACTGAAACCATCTTTGTATGCACTCAATGTGAGTGCCTATAGAACCTTTGTTACTGAAATCATCTTTGTATGCACTCGATGTTCCATTGTAAAAAAATTTCATTCGTTAATTATGTTTATTGATTTTTGTGGGGGGATATGCTTTTTCAAGCCCACGTGACGCAAAAGACTATGTGCGACATTTCGAAAATGAGTTACCACAAGTAGAATGTCCTACAATTAATTCTTAAATACACAATTATTATTTTTCACGTCATTTCATGTTAATATGCATGGATAAACAAGCTGATAGGTTGTTAAAACATCAACTGTACTTCTAATGCTTGTAAAATATAGTATTGAACGATACGATAAGAATCTTAAGTTTAATGGCGAGTTTGAACTCAACAGGAACTGGGTGCTGAACTTCGGTCTGGTGTTCGAGACAACGCTGGCCGCCTTCCTCTCCTACACTCCTGGCATGGACAAAGGTCTTCGCATGTATCCCCTCAAGTGAGTCCTTCAGAAATATTGAGTACTTATAAAACGGAAATTTAAAAATACGAAAGTTTACGGTAGTAGGATAATACGAAAGTTTATGGATGTTGAAATATACGGAAGTTACCGGAAGTTGAAAATACGAAATTTGAAGTTAGGTGAATACTACGAAAGTTTTTGGATGTTGAAATATACGGAAGTTGAAAAATACGAAAGTTCACTGTAGTAGAATACTACGAAAATTTATGGATGTTGAAATATACGGAAGTTACCGGAAATTCAAAAATACGAAAGTTTAAGGTAGTAGAATGCTAGGAAAATTTGAGGATGTTGAAATATACGGAAGTTAACGGAAGTTGAAAAATACAAAGTTAACGAAAGATAAAAAATACGAAAGTTTGCTTGCTCAACCGTTACACCAAAGCCAATAATGCTACGTATAAATCGAAGCTTAGTCTTATGTTCATTTCCATCGATGAGATGAAGCCTTCCATCACTAACTTATCAACATGACTGACACTCACGGAGATACGTTAATCTATTGACCAATTTTAAACTCATATCTACTGTTTACATCTGATGCTATTAAGTTGAACGATTTTCAATATAGAGAAAACTGCGTATTGTGTTAGAACAGAAAGTGAATACATTTTCTGATTCCCGTCAATTTAAACGCCTCAGATAATATCTTAATTTGTTTTATCGTCAGGTAAAAGTTATTCCTGTTTACTTGCCTTTGTATAAGAATGTCGTCAATGCCATATAATTATTTTTCTGTCACAGTCCCTTGGCTCGCGCTTACTAACTCATGTTTTTTTAGCGCATTTTCTCATTTATGGAAAAAATGCACTATTGTGCTCGCCATGTCCGTCTGTCTGTCTGTCTGTCTGTCTGTCTGTCTGTGTCCGTGACTTCACGTTTTCGTCGACGAGAAAATGCGCTCTCTGTCACTCACTGCAGTGAGTACCGAGTTATGTTTTGTTTTACTAACTCACGTTTGTTTGTGTGCAGAATTTACTGGTGGCTGCCTGCCGTGCCGTTCTCCCTGCTGATCTTCGTCTACGACGAAATCAGGCGCTTCATCCTCCGTAGGAACCCTGGAGGCTGGGTCGAAAATGAAACTTATTATTAAAAAGTTCAAGCCTATGATGATCAGTGTGCTGTTACTACAAAAAGAACAACACCGCCACTACTACCTACTTCTACTGCTACAATTCTTTCTCTGCTCTTGTGACGACCTGCCGCTATTCTTCTTCTTCTACTTGTTGTATGTTGGTCGCCACTGCTGTGGTGCAGAGATAATTAGGCTATCCCTTAACTGCTCTCAATTTCACTGCAAACGTTAGTAAAGTAGTTGACAAAACTTAGATATGTTACTAGGACTCTTATTTAGATCTCCTGCCTACTTTCGCTTATCGGTTCACTTGCAAGGAAATTCCTTCACTCCTTTCTTTCCTACCTGGAATATAAGATAACTTGAAGACGTTGTAACCGGGAGTAAATAACCTATTCCTGGAGCTAAAGCTTTGAAATTTAAATCCCTTGTGGAAATCACTTAGAATGATAGAATTTGACTTAAGTTAACTAAATAAGTTTTGTTGACCGAAATGAACGCACGGTTCAGTAACAGTTGTTGCGGAGAAGCCATTGCAATGTTCACTGCCAAGCAATGTAAACAATTATCCGTAAAAAGTGATCATCTCTAATAAGGTTGCACTGCCTTTTATGTTCGTCTCATGGTGTCTCTTCAAAAAAATCTACCTTTTTTGTGGCTACATTGTTTTTAAATTTCATTTACACTGAGGATGTATATTTTTTAATTGAGTTCCAGCAAGCACAACATCACAAATTCTTTTAAATCGATTTTATTTCTGACTTGGTCATATATCTTTCCTATTGACAAAAATAAATGGACGAAGCGATGTGTAAATCTTATCTGAAGTAGTTTGTGTTTTGCTGCTTTGGTTTTATGTAGAAACGACAGCTGCTACCTTACGGTAGGCAATAGAAAAGATGTGCGATATGCCGTTCAAGGAAATAATGTTGTTGAAAGATGGGTGTAACTTTAAGGAATTTGGGCTGGTAGGGCTCTTCTCTTTAGTGGTTTCCTTGTTAACATTATAAGAATTTTACTGTCGGTCATCGTTTGTAATATTGTCCCATTGTTAAATGTGAAATTTGCGGTTTGTAACAAAGAGTAATGTACAGATGCTCTGCAACCACCTCCCTCATCCCCCTCCTTTGCCTCCCTTGTATGTCTCGCTGTCGCTGCTTGCTTAGTTTGTCCCCCGCAAGCTGTTCTCTCCTGTTCAGTTCTTACGTCGTCTCAAACCAATGATACCGAATAATGATTAATGAAACCGATTAGGGTACGCACACAGTGAAAGCAGGTTGCCAGCGTGCTGGTTACCTGCTCAGGCTGGCGCCTGAAACCATAGAATACAGAAGCCTATTCGTACAGGTTTTCACTGTGAACACTTACATTATTATCCTATGTTCATTCTTGTGGCAGGTTGGAGCAGGTTGCCCGCGCGGGCAAACCTGCTTCCACTGAGTGCGTACCCTTACGTCGTCTCAAACCAATGAAACCGAACACTGGTTACCAAACTTAAATTTTCACAGAAACGATGAGGCAGAAATATTTAAACTAATGTTGCTATTATCCATTACCTATGTCCGATGTAGCTACTTTTCCATGTTCATTCTTTGGAATAAATATTGGTTGTATGAAGATAATATTGGAATGACATTTCTTGTACACACGTTAATATCGCTTCATTTGTACAAGTCGGCCATTGAAAAATTTCTGTGCTTCTTGTATGCAATCAACATATTCCAAGAAATCACTCTAGTATTACGTCACAAAATTATATTGTTGCTGATGTAGAAAATTTGGATGTTCTGTAAAAATGTTGTGCTTGCTTATTTTATTGTTTTCAGCAGGGCTTTAGAAATATCTGATTAGCATGTCGATGACTGGCGAAAATCGGGAACGGCAGCACCGGATCGAATTTTTAACATAAAACCTCAATGTCAAAACGAGTTGGTCAGAATGGGACAAAATCTTTTGTTTCCACTGAGGTAATTAAAGTTTAAAATAATAAAAAATGTCATGTTGTTGGCAGTTCTATCACGGTCGAAGCAGACTTCGTTTTGGCCCACGGTTATCAGTGTCGCGTGCGATAGAGCAGAGGTCTGCGTCAGTGTTCAATTGCTACCTAATAAGAAAAGTTATGATTATTATAAATATATAAATATATATATTCAAAAGTTTTAGCGACTACTTGCTCTGCTGCTCAAACCTTCCCTACCGTACCATTCATTTTAGTGCTATGCTTAGGCTCCGTTTCGTTCCAGCTCATCGTGCGACGCAAATTTTTGCTTTTGTAATATCTTTATGAAATACACTTATTTCACCGACCCTCTTCATTTCATTGCTTTTCCTTTAACCATTAATTTTAGTTCTCCCGTCGAACTCTTCCTGTGCGTGGAATTTTCGTTGCCGTGGTGGTAGTCGTAGCTTTCAGTTAATTGACGTAGCATGTGTCATCGTTATTCATTTCTGTTGAATGTCCACATTCCGAGTCCCGTACTGCCTCCTGTCCTATCCTGTCCTCTCAGACCGTTAGATGCGAAATGAATGCTTTACGACCTAAACATATATGTCTATATGTATACATGTATGTTGGTTTGCATGCATGTGTATATAGATGTATAATACATTATATGTACGCAGCAACTCGTAAGCTTGTTTAGATGCCGAGTTGTACTAACGGATACTAGTCCGTCAATTGTTCGTATGAAACGCTTCTTAGTGAGTCTGCTATCACTGCTGATGATACGTTAAGTTCGTTGTTTCGAAATAACCAAGTCAATTTTTGCAAACCTTTTAGCTATAACTCGATTGAAGATAAAAGGTATAATAATCTTAGGATTCTTTCGAGGCTTTGCCTCGAACCTGACAGAAAAAATATCCTAGGTTTCGTCCAAAGAATTGAAATTCGCAAATTCGAAATTTAGTGTTGAAATTCGAAATTTAGTGTTGAGTGCTGCCGATATAGCAGCTGCACGCTTATAAATTCTCCCTGAATTGTACGTAATTGCCATCGAAAGCTTTCTGCGACCATTAAAATAATATTATACTCGAAATAAATAAAATACGTTGCTTAGTGTGTGGTGACGTGACTCGCGTTTCTTGCACTCTTGTTAACTTTGTTGACGAAAACATCGAGCACATATGCGTAGATTGTTCCAATAATAAAGACTTGAAGAAAACTTTTAGAGCGAGTAATTTATTTGGTACAGAAAAGACAGGGTGTTATTTATAAAGAAAACTGGCGTGAAGACCTAGACCTTCAATCAAAACAGTTACTTTGTAGGCGAGAAGAACAGCAGCAGAAATTGCAATAGTGAGATGGTCCCTTAGGTTTAGAAGGGAAAGCTTTAGCGTAAAATTTTAATGCCAGCTGCCCTCTACTGTTGACTGCTTTTGAATTGCGTTTAAAAACGGCTTGGGAAAAATCGTTCGCGTTACCGCGAACGATTTTTCATGCCGCGAACGTTACCAGAAAAATCGTTCGCGCAGCTAGAAAACCTAAAGGGCTTGCAAACACGGGTTGAGAACAGCAGTGGCGAGGCTAGTACGAACTAAATTTCTTATTGTGATTATTGACGAGGCTAACACGAACTGAATTTCTGATCAGGATTATGAGAGCAGATGTCCTAATCTATTTATTCCAGTGAGAAAGTTATAACACATCGTAACAGGTTTCAGGAGTTGGGCTTCAGTGTTGGGACCTTCGAAAATACGCTGAAACATATTTTCTTGAAGAGGTTTTTTCATACTAGAAAATATATTAATTACATGACTGCATTTACATTTTTTCAATGCCAGCGTGCTGGAGGCAGAAGTAGCTACTTTACTACACTAGATCAACCACTATTATAAAGGAAAAACTTGAACAGTCGTTGGGAAGCTCATACCTGGCTCTCAGTAAGCCTTTGTATATACCAGATCTAATATCATAATAACTAAAGTTAAGTATTACGATTGATAAGCTTTATTGAAAACAAGCATCGTCACCCTAATGATCCATCATGATTATAATATTGTTCTTGAGTGATCATGAAAGCATGTATAACATGTCGGTCGGTTCGACGATCTCCTTTTGATTACTCGTAGTGAAAAGAGGGCGCAAGGTGGCAAATAATGCACATCATATATAACGATCATGATTAAATGGCCGAAATTACAGCATCACTACTGCCCACTTTGTACGTTGGTTTATAATCTTACGAAACCAATAACTCTGATTCACTGCTGAATGCTAGCTAGTTCATTCTTACGAATGAACTTCATCTTCATGACGCTGAGTCAATGTCACGGCGGCCCAAGTAAATTGAGGAGCGGATACAACGCAGTGATTATATAAATTTTTTTTTATTTTAAAGCATCTAACTGTTGAGTTAACTGCTGCTTCAGTCACAGATACTCAGTGACTTCCTTAACATAAACATTAAGAGTGCGTCTAGCATTGCCACCGTGCGTTCCTTCCTTATCACGCTTCCCTTCCAGCTCCTTCTTTCTTGCTGGTTTTCTATCATTTGTAGACATGCGAACGAATGTCTAGTCGTTGTTATTTACATGTACTAGACATTTCGTGACGTAGCGATGGCATAGCACCAGCAACTGTTAGCCCATTCTTTTATTTCTTCTTCTTTTTAGTGATGATCACAAGGCTGATTTTTTTTTCATGAGGTTGCGGATCCAATCCTTCTTTGGCGAGGGTCCAATAATAAAGTGTTTGAAACTAAACGATTCGTCTTTTAATATCCTTTAACATTGGTGTGTTTTTAACATCGTTGTGAACACATCAATGAAATGCAAGTTTTGAAAAACGTTCATTGACCCATTTCGCTCTAGAGAGCGTATGCACCAACCAAATCTACGGATTGTACATAGTAATGTCAGCCTAAAAATGTCGAAAATAAATTAGTACAAAGACTCGGAGACATAGTGCACGTTTCCAACATTTTTGGAAAATTTCCTAACGGATTCGACAAACAAATAAAGTTTATCTTGAATATTCTACAGTGAATTATTAATACTATCAACTATGATACATATGTTAACGGGCATCAGGTGAAGACATTAATTTCTTCGAAACAATTAAACATTTCGTCACGGAGAGAAAATCCCATGTTCGGGCGGCTCTTTAT